CCCTTAATCCCTTTCATCTATCTGCCTCCATAGCAGAGTGAATTTCCTCAAAATGATTGAGGTTTTGTCCTATGTCACAGCATCCTTGGGGATGATCCCATGCTTGAGTCTCCCAGGTATTGATGTTATTATTGCATTTATTTAGATTGGCCTTCAAGGTGTCCTTAAATCCCTACCTACCTCCAGAGTTGCGACCATCAGTGAATTGGGTGTATAGGACCTGTTTTGGGAGCCAGTTGTTAGGCATTATGATACATCTTGTCCAATGGAACTGGTACTATATAAACATGGCTTCAATGGAGTAAAAAAGTCTGCTGCAAATTACATTCTCATGGCTGAGCTGGACCAAGAGCTGGGTCTATTAGTTAACTTTTTGGACCCTGGAGAAATTGTTTTGAAGAACAGATATTTCAACCTTCTACCAGCTTTGTCTGCTGAGATGGAAGTGAGCAGCTGCTTCTGATGGTGTACATCCAAATAAATAACAACACCCTGAAAAATGACCTACTTACTTGTCTATTTGAGAAGTGTTGAGTGCTGTTAGCTTCCATCTGAGGCAGTAAAAGTTGAGGGGTTTCCATATCTTCACCTCCTTTACCAAAATGGCTTTGCTCTTAGTCCTGCTTCCATATCACAGTACTTTGTTTCTTCTTATTACGTGCAGGCAAGCTTTTTTTTGTAACTACACCCTCTGAATGCATGTGTGCACAAAGTGCATTGTGCTGCATTTGAGATGGTGTTCTTTTTTTTCTGATCACCCTAAATAACTTGCAGCATTGGCACAAGCGAGGAAAACAGCCATGGTTTCCTTCCCCTTCCGCCCAAATGCAGAAGGAAGGTGTGCTTGAGTTTTTGAAACTAGAATACAAATAAAACTATGTCATTGCTTGAAGTAGTGTGTGCAGGCCTAGGGGTGGGGTGGTCTCTTGATTTTATTTTCTCCCTTGGATTTTTTATCTCATTTATTTTTCTTTCCTGTTCATTCTCTCTCCCTAAGATTTAATCTTGTCTTTCTTTAATTTATATGCTTTGAAAAAGCAGCCTCTTCTCATCCCTCATCTTTGTTTGCCTCCCATATCTCACTCTTTGCTTTCTTCCCATTTATGTTCTCCCTTTACTCTTTTTCTTTTGCTGCTGTGGCTCCCCTTGTATTTCATTCTCTCTCCTCTGGGGATCACCTTTCCACTTCCTCCCCTTCGTCTATGGGGTATGGCTACTGTGGAGTGGTCTAGGTATTCCACTTCCCTCTATCATCAACTTGGAGAGAGGCAAAGCACTGCTCAACCTGGTACTGGCAATGGGGGATGACCATATCAGCGACCTAACGATCGAAGGCAAGCTGGATGATAGTGACCATGAGCTGATCACCTTCACCATCCGCCGTAAAGCTGACAAGTCATCAGCAATACAGAAGTCCTCAACTTCAGGAAAGCTGACTTTGCTCGGGAAGCTTGTCAGTGAGGCCCTAAGGGACCACAACCCAAAGGGAAGGGGAGTTCAGGAAGAGTGGTCACTCCTCAAGGGAGCAATCCTGTATGCACAAGCAAAGTCTATTCCATCTCAGAGGAAAGGCAGCAAAAGGGCACAGCAGCCCCCATGGCTCTGCAGGGAACTAGCAGACCTCCTGCATCTGAAAAGAAAGGCCTACAAAGGATGGAGCATGGGAGCCACCTGCAAGGAGGAATATTCTGCGCTGGTCTGAACCTGCGGAGAGCAAATCAGAAAAGCCAAGGGTGTGACTGAATTCCAACTAGCTACAAGTATCAAGGACAATAAAAAGTCCTTTTTTAGATATGTGGGGAGCCAGAGGAAAAGCAAGGGCAACATTGGACCCCTGCTTAACCAGACAGGACAGTTGACAACCGACACCCAGGAAAAAGCCAACTTGCTAAATGGGTATTTTGCGTTGGTCTTTCACCAGTCCTGTGGGATGCCCCTGCCTGTTATGGGATGGGAAGGCCCAGGTGAGGGAGATTCCTTACCCTCAATCAATGCTGACCTTGTGAAGAAACACCTTGAGAGGCTGGATACCCTCAAGTCAGTCGGCCCTGACAATCTACACCCCAGGGTACTCAAGGAGCTGGCAAGCATTATAGCCCACCTCTGGCATGGATCTTTGAGAACTCCTGGTGCTCTGGTGAAGTGCCCGAAGATTGGAAGAAGGCCAATGTGGTGCCTATCTTGAAGAAAGGGAGGAAGGTGGATCCGGCAAACTACAGGCCCATCAGCTTGACCTCTATCCCGGGCAAGATCCTAGAAAAGATTATCAAAGAGACTATTCTCAGCAGACTGGCTGATGGCAAAATCCTGAGGGATAGCCAGCATGGGTTTGTTGCGGGTAGGTCTTGCTTGACCAATCTTATTTCCTTTTACGACCAGGTGACCTATCACCTGGACAAGGGGGAAGAGATTAATGTCATATATCTTGACTTCAAAAAAGCCTTCAATCAGATATTCCATGATCACCTTTTAGCAAAACTGGCCAACTGCAGCCTCGGCTTCAGCACAGTCTGCTGGCTGGGAAATTGGCTCTGCAGTCGGACCCAAAGGGTGGTGGTTGATGGAAGTCAATCGTTGTGGTGTGCTGTGACCAGTGGGGTCCCTCAAGGCTCTGTCCTTGGGCTTATATTATTCAACATCTTCATTAATGATGTGGACATTGGTGTCAGAAGCGGACTGGCCAAGTTTGCCGACGACACCAAACTTTGGGGTAAAGCATCCACACCTGAGGACAGGAGGGCGATAGAGGCTGACAGGCTCAGGAAATGGGCAGATGAGAACCTGGTGGTGTTTAACACTGAAAAATGCAAGGTTCTCCACCTTGGGAAGAAAACCCGCAGTATGCTTATAGGCTCGGCAGTGCTACACTGGCTAGCACTACGGGCAAAAGGGACTTGGGGGTCATGATTGACCACAAGATGAACATGAGCCTTCAATGTGATGCTGCGGCTAGTAAAATGAGCAAAACACTGGTTTGTATCCATAGATGCTTCTCAAGCAAATCCCAGGACGTCATTCTCCTGTTGTACTTGGCCCTGGTGAGGCCGCAGTTGGAGTATTGCATCCAGTTTTGGGCTCCACAATTCAAAAAGGATGTGGAGAAGCTTGAGAGAGTCCAGAGGAGAGCCATGCACATGATCAGAGGTCAGGAAAACAGACCTTATGATGAGAGGCTGAGAGCTATGGGACTCTTCAGCCTGGAAAAGCGCAGGCTCAGGGGGGACCTGGTGGCCACCTATAAGTTTATCAGGGGTGCTCACCAGGATCTGGGGGAACATCTGTTCACCAGAGCGCCCCAAGGGATGATAAGATCAAACGGTCACGAACTCCTCCATGACCGTTTCAGGCTGGATGTAAGGAAGAACTTCTTTATTGTCCGAGCCCCCAAGGTCTGGAATAGACTGCCGTTGGAGGTGGTTCAAGCACCTACTTTGACCGCCTTCAAAAGAAATTCAGATGTTTATCTTGCTGGGATCCTATGACCCCTGCTGACTTCCTGCCCATGGGGCAGGGAACTGGAC